TGTGGGATCAGTGTCAACGCCGGGTGGGTGGAGAAGGAGGGAGGGAAGTTGCCCTTCGGTGTTACGTTTCTTGGGGGCAGTGGGTATGATGGGCGGGTTTTGGATATTGCTGCTGTTTTCGAGGAGGCGGTCGGTGGGAAGGCGTAGATGATTTTGAAGGTGGTTCACTGCATTTTTGTGGGCGTTTGGGTTGAGACTTTGCATGAATTGGCTTTGTTTGTGTGCCTGTTATGAGATCCCTCGTGTATAGTCAGTATATGTTTTGCTCAGTTCCTCACTAACAATTCAAGATCAGATACGCCCGGTAAATCATCTATTTGAATGTCAACGAATTTTTAAAGGGGTATATATAGCGGGACTTGTGTCGTATTCAATTTTCCAACAGACACCTCACAGGACTACGTACAACACCTGGGGCTATCCTCCACCAGAAGCTTAGTTTCGAATCGCCGAAGTAGCTCATAGCCTAACGACGCCATGATTATACAGCAACGATACAAATCAATTTTAAAGTAGCCTCGAGGGGAGTAGAAGGGAATACTGCATCGAAATGCTTCTTGTTGTTGTCAAGTATATAAATATTGTCATTTATGACTCGAATTCGTGTGATGAAGAAGGAAGGTCCGTCTTGCTTCGGGTTTCGTTTCTGGGCGGAATGATAATCCCTGGCTGTGATGTTCACCGCCTTCTTGCCAGAGAATCCAAAGTTGGGTATTGGAAAGAGGGTCGAGTTTGTGTCAGTAGCAGTAGTTTGATATTTTGAACCGATTTTCTTTGAGTTAAGCTGGCTTAAATATGTGTTGGCGGGTTCGTTTTGGTGGCTAGGATAGGTGATAGAGATGAGTCAGTAACTAGATTCACTTTCTCACATACCTATCTTGGGTAAGATGGAGGTTGGGGTATATAATGGTGAAAGAATTCAATGATACTGTACACTCAAGCAAAGATTTATCTGCTATTTCTAGCTCTGCTTTGCAGGGCAATGCTTTAAGGGGGTATTAAGTGTGGGTGACCAGAGCTCAGCCCTGTAGAAGTGGGTTCGCTGCACGGTAATAGGTTGTCACTTTATCAGAACACTGGAAATGCTTACGAAGACATGAAAATTGTTGTCAATTATTTTAGGAAGAATTGTCAAGGAAGAATGGCAACAAAAAGTTTAGAGGGTTTAAGCGTTTTAGAGGGAGCTGGTGCAGTCATACCTTGAGAGCATTTTCTCACCCCGCCTATGCAACTCAGTTCCTTGACAGAGTTCCTAGAGGGTATAGCATTTGAGGTGTGTCTCAGCATCCATGGTTAGATCATATGCGGGATAGTTGTAAAAGGTTGTAAGGTTTAGTCTTGGAAGGCAGCAGGGAGTGGAGCGCCTTATATAGGTTTCCTTCAACACTAGGTAGGTATTGACTGCCCCTCGCTTATCTGAACACTGCTCATCGATTTTTGTGAAGTAATGACAACATGTGAGGGTGCAACTTTTGCAGGTGCCTTTCTCAGTCTTGGCACGGGATACCGGTTGGTTATTCTTCCTGCTCTTGAACAATGTCAATGATATATGTTGACTTCCCCAGAAAGCTGTAATTTGTGCTCAAGCAACCTTGAACCTCTCTCGGTTTTGCGTCAGAAATCATGAAAAACTCAAGATCACGTGTGCTACAGTAAAGAATGAAGGGGGTTCGCCCCTGATTGATCAGGAACGCAGCACTGGTTTAAGTCAACTCCAGTTGAACTTTAACCTCCTTCCTTTCGAATCCCGAAACCTCTGCAATATGAAAGCCTTCATTCTCAATTTCAGATCAATATCAACCCATGATTGAGAACATTGAAGATCGATATCACTTTTTGCGTAGGTAGATACCCTCCAGGCTCGCTTACTGTACTGTAGAACTAGTGAGTGGTCAGCACCCCCGCTAAGGAGTACTTCAGGACTTCATACGCTTTCGAACTCAGCACCTTCCGTTACTCACTACTTTTGGTATTTCATTGGACGCTTTCGATCCATCCCTCTACCCTATCGTTTTCGTACTGGAAATGGCCGCCCCCAATGAAACCTTCGCAACCTTCTACGAAGTACACCTCACTTTGCACGGGGTTGAGGGAGTCTCAATCGGAGGATCTCGATCCCGATCAAGCCCTGTGCTTGAAAATGAGGCCGCCACGAGAAAGAGAAAGCCTCGTCGACAGCCTCACAGTTAGACCACTTGAATTCGCTGGTGGAGGCCTCATTTTAGCTTCAAGCCACATTGCGACATCATAAAGTTGGTGTTTTTTCCCTTTGAAATTTCCCCTCTCTTTCTCTCTTCGTCGCTCCCTAACATCTTAATTGCGTCCATCAATCACCGCTCTGCCCTTCTGGGCCTCCGCCCGAGTCTTGGGCAAGTTGCCAAGAGGTCAAGAGCCTCTCCTCAAGCCGCAGGGCCCGCCGTTTTGGCGGCGGGAAGCCTGCGTGGGCAGGCTAAATCGGTCAAGAAACAAGTCGCCTGTGGTTCCCCTACGCCAGAGACAAGCAACCCCCCCTTCCTGACATACAGCGCGACCTTCTCGACCACCATTATGAATTAGCTCAACCTCCTCTGGATCCCGGTTTAGATCCTGCTTCAAGCGACCAAGCTCGATTTAAAACTTCAACTCGGCAATTTGCCGATACAGACGGAGATACTGATTCATTGCACTCTCTTCCAAACTCCTTTGATTTTGAATTCAACCTCAATCTCAATTTCGAATCTCTCCTTGGCTCCAATCCCCTCTTACCTGAGTCTTCCGAAACCATAACTCAAACGACAATCGATCCCAGAATCCTGGGTATCCCAAATACACTCGGCACTGGTTTTGAGGACGGCCGGCTGCGACAGCTCCTCACGAGTAACTGTTCCCCACCACCCATTCTCTCTCTCCCGCAAGCATATTTCGGTGAAGTGCTTCTGCAAAACTCAAGTCCTCGACAGCCACAGATTGCGAGTCAATCGCAAACAGATCATCGCTGGTCCGTGCAAAGAGGCTCACCACGGCTACCAGTTCACCCAGCAGCCCCCAAGTCCTCCTTTGCTGATCTCCCAGAGCCAACATCGTCTTTGAACTCTCCCGTTTCAGTCTCTGCGGATCCTGAAAACCCACTTTCAGGCCTCACTGCTGCATCCCAAGATGGATTCCCTCCACGCAGCGGTATTCGACCCCGGATGTATCAATGCGGATGGCCCGGATGCCAGCGTATCTTCGCCCTCAAAAAGGACCTCCAGAGACACCATCTTACGCATGTCAAGCCTCATAGAGCCAACTACCACCGGTGCCCAAAACCTGGATGCAACAAAAGCTTTCCACGATTGGATAATTGCCAAAGACATTCAAAGCAATGCAGAAGTGGACAGTGAGGACACGAGTAGCGATGCATTATCTCTGTTGTGGGACTACGAGGAGAATTTCTACGATTTTGAGCCGGTATCTTGCGAACTATCTGAAAGGTTATCCGGTCGGTCAGAGTACCCCATATTTCTACCGATGAACAATTCAGAACCTTATATGCATTCCTGGCTGCTCAAAACGCTCGAATCAGAAGATGATCTCAGACGTGAAGCCTTTTGCATAGCAGTGATCTCATCGATCTGGATTCCTTCTACCTTCACTGTTACCTTCACTGTTGGAATGAGATGCACACTTCCCCGTTTCACCCACGAGGAGACCACTCTCACAAACTCATTTTTCAACACCTCTTGGTTATATCTACTCGGACACTTAAATCACCCGCCAGCATCACGTCGGCTCCTGGATCATCACGTTCGGGAGCTTCCGTGCGCGAACTACCCGCCTGCAGCATCCTTCTAAACGGGCCCGTAATCGGACTCCAATTCCGGACTTCATTCGCAAGTCTTCGGTGCGGTCGCTCTCAAGGGTTGGACTTGTCGATCAGGTGCAGGTGGTTGCGTATACTTGTTGGAAAGATATTTAATCGACTCACCTTGAGGTATTGAGGTTCTTGGAGGATGCGGAGAAGAAGATGCTGTTTCGGTGCGGGTGTCAGTTTCGTTCCTACTTGTATAGCTGCTAAGAGAAGCTCTTACTACCATTGCTCACTTCTTCTCAGGGCTTGTGTAATCCTACACTCTCTTTGGGGAGGGGGGGAAATGGAGAGGTCATTCATTAAAGTTGTAATGAATCACACATTCAACTTTGAATTGAAAGGCTGTAATGAATCACAGGTTCAATCTTTAGATTGAAAAATTATAATAAATCATACATTCAATGTTTGAATTGAAAGGTTGTAATGAATCACAGGTTCAATCTTTGGATTGAAAAATTATAATAAATCACAGGTTCAATCTTTGAATTGAAAAGTTGTAATGAATCACAGGTTCAATCTCTGGATTGGCTGTTCTAAACGTGACTATGCTGTGCAATGTGATCGTTGTTGAATGATCTTAGTTCCGTATGCCAAGTCTGAGGACCCTTCCATTCCCCTTTTCGTCTCGGCTATCGAAGGCCTCCCCAGCTCTACACTAACCCTCCAGGCCTCTATACCCCTAAATGCAATGAATTGGGTCTGCATCTTTGCTATTACGGCGCTTGAGAATTCATAATGATACGCACCGTCAAGTAGCAAATTTCTTCTTTAAAATTACGTACTAGAATAGAGTATGGACGGAATTTCGGAACTCAAAATAGGGTTGCTAAAAAGATGTGTTTTGCGATCTGGCGATCAATCGACCATGGCACGAGGCAATCAGTGGAGCTTTTGAATGCTAGCCCAGGCCTCGGCGAGTGATTCTTTGTACAGACACTCATACACACACACAACACACTTATGAATCAACGAAGTCAAATTTTGGTTCGAGACTAACTCTCAGTTTGGATGGGCACAGATGTGGGAGTGTTACAGGGGTGGGGCACAGCCGTCGCTTGCAAATGATGGATTAGCCGAGCCAAGGCCACAAAAAAAACCAAGCAACAAAAGTTGACATGTAGTTGAGGAAAAAAATTTGATGAAAGGGCAAAAAAATTGTCAATGGTTTTCAGGGTCTTACCGCGATTCGAACGCGGGGCCTCTCGCAAATTTAACTCAGGGTAAACCCTAAGCGAGAATCATACCACTAGACCATAAGACCTGATCTGATTTGAATATGCGAAAATGTTCTTATTCAATATTATTAAAGTGGCTGGTCTTAAACCCCATTTTCACGTGACTCCCCCACTTACCCTTCCTCGTGACCTCTTTCCCGGAAACCATTTCTATTTTTCATGTATTGCAAATGCTCAAACTCTACCAATTTAATATATCACGACCAGTTATTATTATAGTTGGGAATCGTTGCTTTCAGCGATTTCTTTAGCATTGCCCAAACAAACTTTATCGCTAGGCGAAGATCATTATATCTCGGTGCTAGCAGCTCACTGAAAAGGGCCTGTCCAGCTTCAAACACTTCACTGTTTCTTGGAAATAGCATTATGGATTTTGCTTTTTATGCATTTTATTTTGAAGTTATTCCATGTTCAGCCTTTAAAATAGTACAGTTTACATCCAAAATTAGCAATTCACGCACGCAATTCGCGTTCTCAGGGTCGCGACCAGTCCCAGCTACCTTCATACTTTCTTAAGTAGAGAAAGGCGAGGAAATGTCTATTACGTCTTTGGGGTCTTTGAGTGGTATTTTATATGCTCAAATCAAATTTAAGCTCATATATGGACGATATGCCTCTCTTTGGGTAGCTGCCAAGTGTCAGCCTTTCACGGAATGGGAACTGTTGATGCATTTTTCAAGTGGTTGCATTGCCTCTCTGAAACCCTTCATAAATTCATAATGACACGGAGAACCGCCTTACTCTACTATACCTCGATGAGGTTCATTTCGGCATCCCTTCTAAACTCAAATGCAGGCCCACACTCCACCTTCCTCACCCTCCACTCCTCCTCCGGATGTTGTCTAGTATATCTCTGATGCTCCGCATGCGTCGCAAAGTCATCCGACCACACATTCATAGGATCCGATTGCACATCAAGCCACAAATTCTCGCAGGACTCGGGCCCATTTGTCGAATCAAACCAGTCCGGGTTCAGAACATAATAATCTTCATTCGGCAAGTGTTTGAGCTTGGTATCTTCATAGTTCCCCTTGCGCTTTTGGAATCGAGCGCGAGTACGTAATGCTATATTGATCGCCGTGATGCGATTGGTATCCTCTAAGTCCATCGCTTGTTGCCACATTTCCAACTGCTCCAGATCGCGTGTTGGATGATCTGGGCCTGGTAAGTAGCAGCGCTGGAAGGTAGCGTAGCAACGGTGTTGATCATAAATCCAACACATTTTGAAAATGGTATACTTGTCGTTGAAGACGCCAAATGCTTTGCTGCGAATGATGTGTGCTTCCTTTTTTCCTTTCAGCCATTTTTTTACCTCGCCTCGCATCTGCTTGCAGACTTGAATCAAGGGTTTGACTAGTCCTCCTTTCTTTCCGTTTGGCGATATAAGAATAGTATGGTGTGAGTTGAGGAGCTCGTCGAAGATTTGGAATCTGACTTCGAGAGGAAGGCGGTTGAGGAGGAGAGACGCCGACTGATCGCAAAGGGCCGTTATAGCTTTGTTCTTTAAAATTTCCGTCATGTTGAGACAAGGTGCAAAACCCTGGATGCGACGCCGAAACTTTTCCAATTAAAATGATGTGTTTGGGAGACCGTTTGCGAACAGTCAAGTAGCTGTATTATCGTGAATGGTAAATTGTGTGACTCCTCACTGAGATCGGGACACAAATGAGGATAGTATGAAGTGAAGAGTATAATGCTCAAAGAGAATGAATTGTCGGGGCTTCTTGAAAAGAAGTCCCACCATGTTTACTTTCCATCACAACTAGGATTGTCGAGGGACTGGTTTTTGGATCGAGAACCAGATCTTTTAATTAGTTGTATTACCATAAAAATAAACCAACCCTTTAAATTGAATCTTTCACTAGATTCTTATAGCTAGAAAATTCTGTTATATTTATTTGATTACGAATTGATGAGGGTTTTTTCAGGTTAGGCATATGTGAGGTGCCTTGTGTGATTGTTACCGTGTAGGACGTGCCCACTCACAGACGTTTGTCATACAGTGCGACAGTAAGGCAGAATCAAGTGTGCCTAGGTTTGACCCACTTATTATCTGATTTATTATCTTAACCAATGGGGCATATCTGAGGAGTCCATTACTATTGAAGAGGGTGGGTAGTACAAAACGAAGAGGGTTGAAATCACTGACAGGTAAGAGATTTAATTGGCTCGGGACTGTACACGGTGAGGCTTCGTGAACAAACCCCACATAATTTTTCCTGCATAGACACCAAGTTCGCACATGAGCCCCGCTTTCCGCTTGGGTACGTGATTCTGAAAAAAAAAAAACTGGTGATGAGATTGAGGAGCGGGAGAAAGAATTAATGGATGATGGGAAATGCTCTATCCCTTTTACCCCTGTCGCCGTATTCTACATGGACGGTGTCTCGCTTAGGCCCCTGGATTGGGGCGGCAGCCTGATGAGCACCTCCCTGAGCGGACCTCAATGCCTTTTTCAAGATCACATGTCAAGTTTGGAAGTTTCAGATACGTTTTCTCCCAGTTTTCCCTAGAGGCACTGCATAATAGAAACCTAGTCTTTTCCGATAGCTTTGATATTTTGAAATAATTGAAAGCCCTTGCCCTCTCACTGTCCAGACACGGTATAGAACAATGAGAAAGGCTGGCTTTATTGCTTACAATGAACCCACAATAGGAACTTATTGAGTACTATATATACTGGGACAATACTCATTCTTCGTTTGGATAATCGAGTCGATATTGAGATGCAAACAAAACTGATCACTGCGTTCGTGTTTACCGAGCCCCTGAAATAGCGGGGGTAGTGGGAATGGTGGGGTAATCGAGAGTCGATTCTTAGAGCTGGCGAAGTAACTATTCTCAATCTTGGTGTTCAAATTACTATGATATTTGTGCTTTAAAAAAAGCTGCTACAAATCATTGCCGTGAGACTTAGGGTGTTGTAGTATCAGGAGTTCCGTAGGGAGGTAGAAATGTATATGTCACGTGATGTTGTCTTCAACCAGAGGCAGCTTCAATGCTTTGGGATTTTTGCCGAGGATGACCGCACCTTTGTGCGGCATTGAAGGTAGCATTTCCAAAATCTCATTATTTTGAAAATATCTGCAAATTAACGTCAAGCCAAAGTTTGAAATCTGATCCTGCGCCATGTGGACTCTATTGGCGTCCAGGACAGTTTGCAGCACGCCACGTTGTTGGTGACGTGTGAAAGGTGCAAATTTTCTGCTCTTCAACTTACGTCATTTCCAATGAAAGAAGGGAAAGAGAAAATTTAAGGGCTGATCTATGGTCACTCTTTCCCTTTTTGCCAGTTGGGCTCAGCTCACAAAGTCGGTGTGCACTCGCCGCCTTGGGCACAAGCACCTCCTGTCTCGACTGGGCCATTCGGGACTCAACCGTCACTTCATCCTTGCATTCGCATATCAGCAACCTTTCAGTACCTTGCATGACTGTCTAGTTCAAAATCAAACAACTCCAGACATCATTCGCTCAAACACTTCAGCATCACACCTGGTAAGTTTCACTGGTCACGTTTCTGAGAAGGTTTCTCAACATGGACGACCATTTACTACACGTCAACACACCTAGCGGTCCAACAAACGAGGCTGTTGTCATTTCCGTCTTGGCGGTTCTTCTTGCATCTGTTTTGTTCGCAACCTTGTTGTCAGGACCTGCTCCAGCTTGGGACAATGAGGGTGAAGATGAACCAATCACAGACTGAGGCTTGACCTAAGGATGTGGCATTTTATGGAGGACTTGACACGAAGAGATGACTCAATACTTCGCTGAACTTGCACATATGGAGGACCGGTCAAATGTTCACACACTGCTTCCGAGTCTGCATAAAGTGCCTGATTTGATCACCAGTTCCTCCTCGACATTGTCCACAAAGTCCACAAAACACAACAAACAAATATCTCGAAGAGTGCATTGAAATCCCAAAGTTGTCCAGAGGCCAGAGACAACACGTCTCGATACTAACAATAACTCAATATCTCGAATTTTACCCCCTCAGGTCCAGGATGAAGCTTCCGACCTCCTTCCTCTCATTCTTGTTCCTGGTTACAGTCACTACAACCTCGCCAGTTGCAGCATCTCGGAATCCACATCAAACACTATCTTCGAAAATGGACATGGACGGTCATCTAACTGCTTTCCACATAACGTAGTGAGCAGTTTCAGTTCCGATAGCTTGGAGGCGGCCTCTGGAGACGAGATAACATCATTTACTGCGCTGCGATGAGCGAACTTTCGCAAGGCAGCGGCTCGATGCGTTTTGACATCTTATGACAAATAAAACCACTTAGCTTCCAGCTTGGTGATGAGGAAATTGCATATGAGTCACCTGCTGAAAGTTCCGAGTCTGAGCTTAGTGAGGCCTGTCAAGTGATGCCAGCTGGATCTTGTTCTAAGTTTTGCCCCACATTGCCAACCCAATTATATATATTGTGCATCCTACCTTCTCTCTTGTATCGGCACATCTTCATCAAAATGAAACCCAACCGGGATTGCGTTGTTATTTGTCTTTGCTTCGTCTTTTTGGCCCTTGGACTCGGGCTTGTTGCAGCTGTTGTCTCCCTCTCTCCATCACTTGGAACTTTCAACACCACGCAAGTGTATGTTCCGGAGGATACCCAAAGAGATTGTGTGGTAAACTGCACTATTGTTCCTATTTCCGAGGGTGGTTTGAATCATTCTTCGATGCTGGCCCTCTTCATGCTGATATGCATGACTGTTGGAATCAGCTTGATTAACCTAGCTTAGGACAACCAACTATCTTAGCTGGTTCCTCTAGGCCCGAGTATTTTTCAAATGAGCTATTCTCAAAGCAATAGGGGGATGCGGGAGGGAAAAGAGCCCCTTATCTACTTCAGGTCAGAAGCCGGGGTGGAGAAATAGCTTACAGCTGTGCTGAGCCGGCAGCGTCGCGCCGCTCACCCTCTAACATGACTTATTCACCGCTCTACCCCGCACCACAAAGGCGTCCGATCTATAGTTGTTATCGAAGCTCCGAAAATGGCTTGGCTGATTCAGCAAACTCTTC